GTGGAAGTGCTACCATCTTTCAAGAAGCACTTGTGAACAGCAAAGAATTGGCCAACTGTACTCAATACCAGGATAGTCTGATTCAGTAGAAACGGCTCAAGACTGTTTTTTCCAGCAATCTGGAATGGCTGTCATGCAGTATCCCACTATATCATTTCATTTAAACTCCAGTGAGAACTTGTGAGACTAGCTTATTATTTTTATCACATTTTAACAGTTCCACTTATTTTGTATAGCAGTTTTATCCCGATGGGACAAAAACAGAAGTGCAGCACCGACTGGATTGATGTGTAGCAGCCCTTATGAGCCACAGCCCCACAACATAGATAGCAGGTCAGATATAGAAGACCTGATTTAGAAGAAACTGATTTTTTAATTGAAATATTAAATATTAATTTCAATATTTAATTGAAAGGGGATTCAGAGCCTGGCCAGTAAACTTAAGCCCAGGGTAAAATTAGCAAGGACACTAGTGTGCCATGTGATCTTTTGTGGCTAAGAAGTTAGTTCCTCACTTTAATGTCACACATCCTAGAGCAGCTTCCCCAGTTACAATACAGCCACAATCTTTCCTATGAATAGAGACTGAGCAGCAATCTAAGCTAAATGTTTTTTTCCTGGTGTTCTCTTAACCAAGCACTAATACACTAACAAGGCCCAGCCTTGTACAATTTCTGTGATTTCACAAGACCAGGCTACAAGGCAATAAGTTGGGCGGAGCAGTGGCACGGTGGATAAGGATCTGCGCCTGTGGCTAGAAGGTTGCCAGTTCATATCCTGTGGCCAGCAGAGGGCCCCTGAGCAAGGCCCTTAAACCCAACTGCTCCAGGGGCACCATATAAATGGTTAACCCTGTGCTCTGACCCCAAGCTTCTTTCTCCCTGTCTGTGTGCCTGTGTGTCTCATGGAGAGCAAGCTAGGGTACGTGAAAAGACAAATTCCTAATGCAAGAAATTGTAAATGGCTAATAAAGTGATCTTATCTAAATGTGCTGATTGTGTACATCAGCCCATACCATGACTAAACACTATCATGATGTAGCAGCTGATGAACATACTTTCTGGAATGGCTATGATTGTTTATACCACATCATTTTTATAAATGCTTATTTTTGAGTGAATAATAGATGCACCATATGTTATTCACATACTGTACTAAGTGTAACATAACATATGATTCATACCTTGTGATTTTTTAAAGGGGAACTGAAATGTTATTTTTATGTTTCGGGGTTAGAAAGAATCAGTATCGATGAGTGCATTTCAGGCCACAATAAAACTAAAATGTACAAAGTAACTTGTAAAATGTCCAATTTACATCACAAAATAGTAGATTAAATTGCCAGGTATGCACAGCACAACAAAACTTCCAGTGATGTGATGTGGCATTAAATTGTAAACAATTAGGCTTGTGAATACTCTCTCTTTTAATTCAACAAAAATATACAGTAGTTCTTGATTTCAAGATGGTTTTGCTTACAAATGCTACAATGTACTTGTTAACTCTGTATGCAGATCACCTTGGAACATTACTGTGGTGAAATGTCTGCTGCACAACCAACCTGCACTTATTCGTTTGTATATCACATTACATTAATCATTACAGTGACTATTGAGCAGGAAGAGCCACATCACATCACAATTCGTGGGAACTCTTGCTCTCGCAAGACCAGGGACTTGGTAAAAGAGAAGAGAGAAGCTCACACCTGAAGAAGGCTTCACAGACGAAACGTGGTGTTTTCTCTCTTCTCTTTTCAACATGGACTAAACCTATTACTTGTTCCTTTGCAAACTGTATCATTGTTTAGTTTGGGAATTGTAAGGTCTCAGACTGCAAGTCCCTGCAACGAATTGTTAATAAGGCAGGAAACATAATTGGAGCCTCCCTTCCGTCCACTCAGGACATATACCACAACCGCTGCACACACAAGGCCTCCAGTATTGTGGACGATCCCTCCCATCCCTCCTGCAACCTCTTTGCCCTCCTACCATCTGGTAACAGGTATCGCAGTATATGGGCCAGCTCCACCAGACTCCATAACAGCTGTTTTCCACAGGCTGTCAGGCTCCTCAACACCCTGGTACCTACTGCACCTACTCCAAATCTGGAAACTTAGTTCTTTTTTGCCTGATGTCAGGCATACTGTCTGATGTATTATTTGCACAATTCTTTGCACAATCCTGTAAAGTTAATTGCACTACGCACATTGCACTTTATGTACCCTGTACCCTGTCAGAAATGGCTATGTCGAAATTGTCTATACCATTGTCTTATCAGTGTCTTGTCTGTATTTGCACCGTAGACCTGAAGAACTATATCTTGCTCCTCTGTATACTTGTATATGGCTGGATTGACAAATAAACCTGAACTTGAACTTGAAATATGAAAAATGATAAAAGACATCAAAGCTAAAACATTAAGAATAAACTGTCACGCCCTCTGCAGCCAGAGGGCGCTCCTTCTCTGTCCTGTCCCCAGTTTATATATTTCCGGGTCTTGCACTCTGTCCTCACTCAGCATTGATGTTCGGATGTCCTGAGACCCGCCTAGCACCAGGGCGCCCCACGTCTGCTCCCTGAGGGCATAGGTTTCTATACGGCATTCCTGAACTCTTTGCACTATGAGCCTGGGCCTTTTTCCCGTCTCGCCGCTACGCATATGGGTCTTTTTCCGCTCTCCTGCTCCCCACGGTTAGTCCCTTTGGACATCCGTGACATAAACCTAATTTTCTCTTGTGTAATGTTTAACTTGAATCTTGGGTAGCATCTCTAAACATCATCTAATTATCCACACACATTAACAATAGTTTAATTTATATCTATGAGACAGTATTATTTGAATTACACGTCAGTTATAACAAGACAACCAGACAGCAACACAGTTTGGATTCTTCTGATAATGCTGAAAAGATATAAAATTGTAAGCTACATCAATTCCATAAATAAATCCTCATTCCCAGGGTCTACTTAATCATTTCATTTTATATCAACATTATGTAACAGCCCTCGAGGGACTGCTTCATCCAAAAACAGTTAAGATTTCTAAATTAATGATTTTTGGAAGACAGTATTACGGGTAAAATTAATTCTGACGACTCTTCAGAATCTCATAAATTATGAAGCTTAAGTAACTCACAACTAGATATTTTAAATGGAAAGATAAATCATGAAAACAAGCAATGAAATCAAACCCTAATCAAACTGAATGAAAAGCTTAGACAGTGTTCTGAAAAAGACATGTGCCCACCTTAATCAAAAGCAAATATGCTCCTATGGGTTTGTTCAAACTGTGAGACTGCAGCTTCTGTTTTGGGCCATATGTTCACACAGGCTTAACCAACTGTTTCTGGACATGTGGTATAGTACATTACTGGCGTGTACTATACTTATACAGTTTGTTTGTGTGTGTATGGCGGACTTGGGATATGCAGGTGTTGTAAGCTCTTCCATAGTAAGAAGGATTTTATTTTAACACTGTCAAAAGGAGGAGTACATACAATACTTTCTTTATAGTATATTAAAATCTAATGTGTACTCATAAAATTACCATTTGATTTTGAATGTACTATACATTAAATAGGCTGCATAGATGTACTGGGAAAATTATAATTAAAGTTACAAACAGCAGTGCCTCATGTGACAGAAAAAGTGTACACAACATGTGCACATCCAGGAAAACAACACCTAATTTTCTCGAGCATGTTAATGTTGATGTAAAAATAGTGGAAGAGTTACAAATGAGATGAGGTCAGTCCATCTAGTCCATTTGGTGCCTTGCTCTGAGATGGGAGAATCTCTTTTAACAAGCAAATCTTTTTAACTATTCACTGTTAAAAGGATATATTTAATTAACCACTTTTGTAATCTGCACATTCTTCTCCCACTGTTTAATTCATTGATAACATGAACAAGTTTTTTTTTAATTTCCTTAGTGTTACATTGTTTTCTGTGACAAATTAACAGAAGCAAATAAAGCAATTTGAGTTACTTAATTTTTCTGTATATTGGATAAGAAGTATAAGCTTCACGTGGACTACTGTGAGAGTGTATCTGTGTACTTTTTACATTTTAATTAAAATGCAAATAGGCAAAAATAGAACTTCTGAAATCAAGCCAAAACATAATGTTGTGAATTAATGATGACAGCATTATGTTGCAAGACCAAGGCTTTCATTGATTGTTTGAAAGGAAAGCTGATACAGGAGGTCAGCAGCTCTGTAGAGGTGAGCTGGGTAACCTTCACATGACAAAATTTCCATTATTCCATTAAAGTATTCTGGAATACCATATAGAAGCCACATCTCCATCTCTTTTGCCTCTACTAGATCCCAAGGAAGCAATAACAAAACTATGCATAGTATAGGCTCTTGGGTACTGATTTAATAATTCTGTATATGTGATAAATACAGTGCCAGCTTGAGGGCCTATTGCAATTACTGTTGCTAACAATGCTGCTCCAAACAAAACAACAAGAGATACATTTCTTAACCGACAGATGTTACTTGGTAAGCAACCTTTACATACGTTTGTTACAATTAAAAAAAAAAGAAAATATAACAGAGGAATACTTAAAGGCTCAAGAAAATTACACTCCCTGATTGGCAGTAAGGATAAATGTGTGATATGTACTGTAGGTGACAACTCCTGTAACATTTGATGATATCTCTATCTATAAGCACGGTAACCAAGCAACTGCAGATCCCCTGGACATCTTGTTTATTGGTCTAACTTGAGCCTGCAACCCATATAAAGAAAGGGACCCACTGAGAACCTACAGCCTTCAGATGTGTTTTGATTTTGTCTGCTGAAAGCCACAGATACTGTATTTGTGTGTAGCATTAAAATTTGACTCTGGGAGAGACGTTTGTAGCATGTTGATCGTGTTGCAGTATACATTTAAAACAGCAAGTCCTTATGTTCACATGGTCACCATAAGTCAGATTTAATGGTTTTACCTGCATGCTTAATTACTTTATCTTAAAAATAAATGAATGGTCTTACCTGCTTGCTACAGAGGTATGTGGCACAAAGTAGTCTTGGCCTGCCAGGTAGGCAGATGCTGTCCCACCTCCAAAGTATCTCTTCTTTAGGATCCCTATGCTATCATTGCGTATGAGCAGGGCTCCTAAACCAGTGGGGAAACCAAATAGCTTATAGAATGAAATGGGAACAAAGTCAGCTGGATGGACCTGTAGATTCAGTGGAGAACAACTCACAAAGCAAGCTGCATCCAGCAGAACAAACCAATGGCCTGCTGTTTTGCATGAAGGATACAGCTTCTGAGACTGGATCCCTTTTACATAACTCAAAGGATACTTCTTTCCAGAGAAATTACTCTGGGCAGGGTAGCAGAAGAGGTGAGGATTCTGAGAGACCTTTCCATTTGGTACCTGCCCAGTGTTAATCGATTCTTTACTTTGAGTCATTTCAATCTCCTCTGGTTGAACAGGAACACTTGTTACTCCAAGTGGAGATGTCACTCCCCTGATCCCCACCACAGAGGTGTGGTTGTCTGTCAGGTAACAGAAGAGGCTCCCTGTGTCTGTTTGACTGGCGGGCTTCCAAGGAAACATCTCTGAAACTAATTTAAGAGCTGCGGTGCATCCAGAAGTGAAAATCACTGAGTACTCGTCAGGTTTAGTGTTGAAGTGCTGCAGTATTCTGTAGGAGAAAACAAAGGAAAGTAGGATGCAACTGTGAAACTACATCGGTCCATTATTATACACCTCAATGATCTAATTTCACACCTCTGGAAAATATATTTATTCTAATACTTAATGTAACATGTAGCACTCCCAATTCTATGGCAGAAAACTTAAGCGTGTTTGCAATTTCTCCACAGTTTACCAGTCTCAAGGTTTATCATAGTTTGTATCAGATTTAAGGAAATCTCTCTTTGCTTTGCACTGCTTGTACCATGTACCATGATTTTACCGTGTTTTGCCATGATACATCAAAGTAAATATTTAGAAGGATGGACCTAAATTTTCTCTCCCTATTGTGAATAGTTTACATGTGGAACATTTCCATGGAATCAGGACAGCCTAATCACTATAATAGCATGTTCTAAGAGGTGTTTGCAGGGAGAGCAATTTGCATATTTATATATCTTTCCTAATTAAATTAAATTAAAGTTTTCTGACTCTTGCTCAGTTTCCATATTTTGCTGTTTTAAAGCTTGCAGACATGATGCTTTGAAGCAGCAAATAATATTTGTTATATACATAACCTACTCCACACATTCAAAACAAAAAAATATGTAAATAGAAAATTAGTTTGAAAGAAAATGGAAAAGCTGTGATTACAAACCCTTTGCTTTTACAAACCTAAATTAATTTATTGACACAATGTTACCACAAAATTAGTTCAATGGCCTATGTGTGCAATAATAGCAATTCACATTATTTCACAATCAGTATACCTATCTGATTAATAAAATGTCGACCCTTTTATTTGCTGAGGGAGTTTTCGGCCACCATTATTACAGCCGTTTACATTCAACCTCAAGCCTGTGTGGAATCAGCACACAGCAAACTCCACAACATTATCTGCAAGCATGAAAACTCCCACCCAGAATGCGGTCTCAATTGTAGTCAGGGACTTCAACCACTGCAATCTGAGGAAGGTACTGCAAAAATACATTCACAATGTACCGACAAGAGGAGGCAATATTCTGGACCACTGCTACACAACAATAAAAGGAGCATACAAAGCGCTTCCCAAACTGAGTTTCGGTAAGTCGGACCACATTGCTCTCCTGTTGCTTCCTGGGTACAAACAGAGGCTGAAGACCTCCCCCGTTACGGACAGGTCAGTGCATTGTTGGTCTGACGAGGGAGAAAGCAGGTTAATAGACTGCTTTGATTGTACAGACTGGGACGCAGTATATGGACGCGGTCACTAGCTATATTAAATACTGCACCGACATTTGTGTACCAGAAAAGAAAATTAGGACATTTCCCAATCAGAAACCGTGGTTCAACAACGACATTTGAAATAAAATAAAAGATAGATCCACCTTAAATTGGGGGACAAAGAGCTGTAGAGGGAATCATGGTATGCATTAGAGAAAGCCATAAAACGCACTAAACTGAGCTACAGAGTGCGGCTTGAAACGCAGTGCGTTGACACCTGGAGGCTGTGGCAGGGATTACAGTCAATCACAGGCTACAAGGGCTGCAGCCAGGAGATCGACACGAACAACACATTCCTGCCGGACGAGCTGAACCATTTCTATGCCCGCTTTAATGCTCTGAACACGAACACTGCTGAGAAGACCCAAAGTGTACAGGGCGAGTTTGTTCTGAAACTCTCAGCTGCAGGGCCTGATGGGATACCACCCTGTGTCCTTAGGACATGTGCAGCCCAGTTGACCACAGTGTTTATGGACATCTTTAACTCCTCCGTCACAGTCCATTGTTCCCACTTGCTTAAAAAAACCCACTATTGTTCCACTACCCAAAACGGCAAAAGTGACGTGCCTGAACAATTATCGCCCAGTTGCATTAACATCTGCGGTGATGAAATGCTTGGAGAAGCTGGTGTTGTCACACATCAACTCCTCAATCACAGAGTCCCTGGACACCTTGCAGTTCGCCTACCAGAACAACAGATCAGTTGATGATGCTGTCTCCCTGGCTCTACATACAGTGTTGGAACACCTGGACACTTAGAACTCGTACTGTATGTGAGAATGCTGTTTGTGGACTACAGTTCAGCATTCAACTCCATCATACCCAGTCAACTAGTGAAAAAGCTCAGGGGATTAGGTCTGTGCAACTCTGTCTGCAACTGGCTGCTGGACTTCCTAATCAAGAGACCAGGTGGTGCGGATAGGTAATAAAACATCAACACCACTCACCCTGAGCACTGGCACCCCACAAGTCTGCTGTCTGAGTCCAAGGTTATACTCCCTGTTCACTCACGACTGCACAGCAAGACACAACAACAACTGCATCATTAAGTTTGCTGAAGACACCACTATAATAGGCCTGATCAGCGATGATGATGAGTCCACTTACAGGACTTACAAGTCGTACAGCTGTTTAGGTGGTGTCATAGCAATAACCTGGACTTGAATGTAAATAACACAAGAGAGCTAATAGTGGACTTTCGGATACACAGGCCACACACTCAGAGCCCACTCAGTATTGATGGAACAGAAGTGGAAACAGTCACCAGCTTTAGGTTTTTGGGAATTTACATTTCTAATGATCTAACCTGGACTGTGCACATGGACTCTATCTTGAAGAAGGCTCAGCAGCACCTTTATTTCTTGAGGTGCCTCAAATGATGGTGGATGCCAGTACCTGTTTTGGTGAACTTCTACCGCTGCACCACCGAGAGCATCCTCAGCAACTGGATCACTGTGTGGTACGGCAACACCACTTCTCGAGAAAGAAAAGCACTGCAGAGAATTGTAAATGTGGTCCAGAAGATCAACGGCTGTGGTCTCACAGAGATTAAACAGCTCTATGAGGACCGCTGCTGTGGTAGAATTCTGGCCCTCACAGAGGACAGTCACCACCCCGGGCATGAGCTCTTCACCCCTCTGCCCTCAGGCAAGAGATACAAAAGCATACGGACACTTACCACTAGATTCTTCAATAGCTTCTATCCACAAGCAGTGCGATTGGCGAACACATTTAGCCATGATCCTCGGACCACACCTACACCACCTACCTCATTCTGATTTCTTATTTATTGCACATCTCCAGTCATTGTTTACATGTCTGCATTGTTTACATTCAAACTGTTTACTTGTTTGCTTATACATTGTCTACTGTTTGTATATTGTCTTGACACTGTCTGCACTTTGTGTTTTTACACTTGCTTAAACAATCAAGAGACTTTCTGTAAGTAAGAATTCCATTGTACCAGTACATGTACAGGTTACATATGGCAATAAAGTTCAAGTTCAAGTTCTGTTTCTGCCTGTAAGGACTACCTGTCGGTTAATTTCAAGCAAAAATTCATCCATGAAGACTAAGGAGCTTTCAAAGTTTAGGGATAAAGTTATGAAAAGGCACAGATCAGAAGAAGAGCTTAAAAAGAGTTTTAGGACCCACAATATCTCAATTCTGAGCATGGTTAAGATCCACACTGCATCGATCATGCTGTCCCTGCAAACTGAAGTACTGGGCAAGGAGGAAAACCGTATTAGGAATGAGACCAGTGGCATCTTTGAAAGTGTTACAGAGTTGGTATTAAAAAAAAGCAATGGAGATGTCTATGGGTCAACTGCATCTTGGTCATTCCACAAAAGGGAAAAGTATAAAACTAAAAAAATATGCAGTGTATATGCATCAGATCCCATAGGGTTCTAGTTGCATTAATGCAAATAGATGATTCTGCATACATATAGCAAAACATTATTTTTTTACCTTTCAGTTGAACAGTGATCCAAAGTAGAAGGCCAAAACCACAATGGAAATGTTAAAGAATATGAAAGTGATTTTCCTTCCTGAAAGTGAGAGCCCCTGTCCAGTCTTGACTTGAATCCTATTGAGAATTAATATAAAGTTTATAGAAAGACTTGAAAAGTGCTGTCCATAAGCTATCCTCCAGCAAATTCTTTGAGCAAATCTTCCAATAATAAAGCTGGTAGAGACTTAGCCAAAAAAACTTGCGGCTGTAATTGCTGCTAAAAATGCATCAACCAAATACTGACTTGATGAGTCTTGAATTTTTATGCAATCAACAGATTTTATGCTTTTCCCATTAGAATTTTCTAATGATGTATATTGTAATTTTACATTTGCAATGAAAGACTGTGTTTGTAGTTACACAAAATAACTTCATTGAAAGGGTGTGCTTTACTTTTTTATTAAAAATGCCATTCACTGAAAGAGAAATGCAGAGCTCTATGTGATTCTGTATGATTTTATTTTTAATAAAATCAGTATTACAGTGTTGTATTCCTTTTGTTTTGCTTATTAAAAGACTGATGACAAAATGACAAGTACAACTTAACCTTATTCAGCTTATTATTACAATTCATTGTCTCAGAAAGCTTTATAATAATAAACAACCAAACATATTATCAACTTACACAGCCATATCACAACTTTAAAAACACAAAAAAGAACGAGGAAAAGCCATCATAAGACTGACTGTGTTATACTTTCCTCTTAGCATGAACTGCAAGAAAAAAGGTGGGATTATTAAACAGATGTGACAACATCTGTTCTCTGAAATGTCACAAAAATCCATCAAAGCTAAGTAATTCGCTTTCTTATTGGCATTTCTGTCTTGAGTTGAAACAAAACAAGCTGTATGTCAATGCTTCAAATGATTTCAACAGCAATACCTCAAATTAATCACACAAGATACAACTGAACTCAACGTCAGACAAAAAAGAAACACCACTGAGTATGGAAGAATGTAATATACAGCTCTGCTTATATATAGCGCCAATGCTTGTTAATAAGACAGAATTAAGTGTTGCTGTGCTTTCCCAAATGAGGCCCCATCTCTCTGTTCATCTCTGTGGTGCAGCCACAGAGAAACTATTCATGCAGGCTGATTTAAAGATGTTTTCTTTTCATAAACGACAGCTCCCAAAGGGGGATGCACTTAGCTAAGCCTGGCTATCATGATCAATGGTCATCCATTGGCGCCTATCTGTCTAGGGAGTGCCAGATGGACATCTGGACTGCATT